CCATATCACTATCAAATCCCACAAATGAATTCTACATCATAATTTCCACCATGAAATCTATCAAAGCACCAACTAGAATTCTTCACTTTTCACCCAGAAAATAAAAAATTAACACAAACCCACAACGCCATTACTAGAAATTTTCTTTACAAGCCCAACAAAAACGCAAAAGTACATAACATAAACCAGGGGAAAAAGTGAAAGCTACCTCGTCAAACATGGACTGAAGAAAGTTCTTGTGCTGCGTTTTGAGCGCAGCTAACGCCATTTGGTTCATGAATGAGGAGATTATCAATAACGTTGAAGCTTAAACCCTACTTTGAAATAAAGGGGAGTAACCAAAAGAGGGTTTTTATAATAAATGCTGAAACTTTTTTTTTCTTTTTAAACAGAAAAGTAAAAAAGAAATGATTTTTAGGGAAGAAAGTAGAGGGGATTTTATCTGGTTGGTCGCTTTTTCTTTGGTGACACTTTTTCAAAAGGCGTCGTGGTCAAACAGTTGAGTTTCTCTATAAAGATTTGGTGTGCCGCGGGGCAGTGCCATACACACACGTACACTAGATTTTAAAGTCTGTCTTTTTATCTTTGTTTTGTTGGTGCTTGGGGCTTTGCACATGCAAAATCTCACCTTCTCTCCCTATAGGAGGATTCTTGTTTTATAACATAAAAAAATATGTGGATGCACACACATCACCCATCATGGAACTTTTTTTTTTTTATTCTTGTTTATTTACTTGTTTCATAATTAAGTTAGATTCTTGTCCTCATAAAATACAATTTTATAGTTGTAAAATGTAATATAAATATTATTTTATGTGGATACATTTATATACAACTAAATAAATTTTTAATAAAATATAAAAAATTATATCACATCTTAGTATTTTACGAAAAAATTTACATGATGAATATGTGATCGAAAATTTGTATATTATATGATTTTTGAGTTTGTAATTAATTAAAAATATAATTACATTTAAATTTTATTTTAAAGTACTTAAAAATATTATTAAAATATTTTTAGATTAAATTATCATATTAAATAAATAAATTATTATTATTTATAATATTATATTATTTTTGTCTAATATATTTAAAATTAAATATAACAAAAAATGAGGAACTAACACGTGTTAAAATTTTAATACTATTTATATATATATATTTATTGATTTTATATTTATATTAAACTTTTTGTTTTATATAGCTAGAATTTAAAATTTTAAAAAATATAAAATTTGAAGATTATACAAGAAAACAATAAGTGAGTAAATTTATAATCTCCCACCAATAAATTTTGATAAATTTGTTGTAATCTTTAATTTTTAGTTAAAACTATGTAATTCTCTTAATTATAAATTCTATATTTAATAACCTTAACTATAAATTTACAAAAAAAAAAATTCCAAATACGATCTTAATTTCTTTTTTTTTTTCCTTCTCAAATAGATATATGTTAATTAATGTCAACATATATATTCCTCAAGAAAATAATTATTGATAGAAAGAAAAAGAAAAGATTTGACAAAGAATCTTGAGCTAAAAATTTGTTTCAAATTACATTTTTAATTTTACTTTATTTTCAAATAGATATGTATGAACTCATGTCAATATATATATATATATATATAAGTCCATCAATAAAATAATTATTGATAGAAAGAAAAAGAAAAGATTTGATAAAGAATCTTGAGCTAAAAAAATGTTTCAAATACAATCTTAATTTTATTTTCTTTTCAAAAAGATATGCATGTATTCATGTCAATATATATATATAAACCTCAATGAAATAATTATTGATAGGAAGAAAAATAAAAGAGGAGCTATATACATATATATACACTCAAAACTTTTTGTCTGAATAAATCATTAAGTTAGAGTTAGCTATGTTTCTCAGTCATCACTTGTGGTGATATATAATATCTAAGTACACACACGCGCATACACATATATATACACAATATCACCTCAATCTTTCATAGTTTTCTGATAAACCCTTTTAACTTTATTTCGACCTATCCAAGTGGCCACCTTCATCTTCTGTTCTCTTTTTCACATCCATACAATAAGAAGCTATTCATAAAAAAAGATTTGATTAAGAATTTTAAGATATACTAATACAACTTTTTCCGGTTGACAATGATGACCAAGTTAGATATATATGTTTTCTCAATCGCTTTTGGTGTATATATATATATATATATATATATATATATATGCACACACATATATATGTATGCATGCATGTATATCTATATGTTAAATGCAACTATAAAAAAATAATACCACCTCAATCTTTTCACATATTAGAATTAGATCTCCATCATAATTTTTCTTAATAAATAATTATATTCAATTATCATTTTATATACAAGTTAAGCTGACTTAATTTCATATCAGTATTTATATATATATATATATATATAATTTAGATGGCAATGAAACTTGCAGAGCTGATAATTTAAGTACTAATTTAATCTTATCTTAAAAAATAATTTGACATGGATCATTTACTTTTAGCGGAAAGAGAGTGTATATGCGTGTGTGTGTGTATATATATATATATAATAAGCTAGCCAAATAATAGACATGCATATATTTTTCAAAAAAAATAATAAAGACTAAAAAATTAGGCAAAAAACAAAAACAATATAAAATAATTTAAATTTTAAATTGGAAAATCTGATATTATGTATTAAACCAATCGCAACTTATTTATCATGCATGTATTAGAATAAAAATAAGAAACAATAATTTATTTATATTGTTATTGAAATAAAATAAGAACAAATAAAAAAGAAAATAAAATGAAACTATATTGAATCCCATTACTCGATCTCATTGGGTTACAATGAACCCACTTGCCAAAAATTACATAAATAAAAGAGAAATGACACCACTAGTCATTACATTACACATATACATATAATAAAAAATTAGATTCATAATAATTTGCAGAGGTGAATTTTAATTGGTTAACTTGGTAATTGGGCATGTGAAACAATGGATTTGGTCATCATCTCTAAATCACCGCAGACAAACCCAATCTTCATGTTCCCCTGCCGACCTCTAAAATCTATTTATCACTTATTGCAAACCCCATAACCTGGTGATGCTGACGCTACACCATTTCCCCTCCGTTTCCGCGTTTTGTACACTATATATATATATAATATATATATACACACACAGCAACTCACATGCACGTATGCATATATATCAGTCTATATTGTATACGTATACAAACACAGATGTTTGTGAAGATTATAACTCGACCTACAGAATAAATATCTGAGACTTCTTTGTCGGGAAATATTATAAGGTCGAATCTATGTCGGTATATCAATATGTGATTCTAAATCTTCTGAAATATAATATTTTACATTTCATTTTAATGGCAAGTTACAATGGTTGAGATATATACATCAATTCACACAGTATAAATAAAATTTAAATAATAATATTCGTAAAAATATAACACCAGTAAAATCCGCACTCGATATAAGAAAAATAAAATAAACGTACTAAATATTTAGTTAAATAATAATTTGTAGAGGACTGTATTGAACTCTTTTATTTTTATTTTTTTAAAATAAATTATTTATTTATTAAATAAAAACATTCTTAGCATATAATAAACTATATTTTATAAGTGTCTCCGTACATATTCATTTTTTAGATAATATTTATTTAGATAATACATCATGCATGCAGACCAAATTAAAAAAAATATATATATTTTTGTGCTCATGTTCTAAATGTTATTATAAAAAATATATGTTTGTAATTATTTAAAACTTATATAATAACTTCTTATACTGATAAGTGTATTTCAAAATAAACATTTTACTTCTCATATAAAAGGAAAATTGCTGAAGGGTTGCTCGTGTGTGTGTGTGTGTATATATATACACACATAAATTATATAAATAAGGCCATTGTAGGTGATGAGTTGGGTAAAGCCTAATATTTATTTTTGGTTAGTGAAATTTGGACCAACACTCCCGAAACCCAAACGTAAAACTGAATCCTACTTGTGAATTTCATGTTAGCCCATTTAGAACCTAGCCTAACCTAATACAGATTTCATGTTAGGCTTTTCTCAGCCCAAGCCCATAATGGCAATGACCTTTGAGAAAATATATGTATACATATATATATTAATCAACCAATGTTTTATTACGGAAATAATAACTATTTTTAATACAAATTAAGTAAATTTATTATATTTTATATTTTCAAATAAATATAATTGAGATGTTATATCATTAGAGTCTTGTTCTTCTTTCATATAAGAAACATTTTAATTAAGAAGCATAAAAATATTTTATTTACTTATTTTCAACTAGTCTTAATTGGTAAAACCACTTTTTATATAACATTTTTTTTTTAATTTGAAGAAGCCTATTTAAATAATGTAATTTCAAAAATTATATAATAGAATATTTTTTCTAACTCATTTTTATTTTAATTAGGAAAATATATAATCACAAAAAAAATATTTATTTCATTAAAGAAATATAATAAATTAATTAAAATTTAATTTAATTCAGTCGTAAATACAACAATATAATAGACTTATCATCCGAACAATTTATGTGTAATTTAAATATTTTATTTTGTTCCCTAAAAAAACTAATTATTTTATTAAGAACAACTTAAGTCAATATCAATATGATTAACTATCTTTTAGCTACCCTTTTTCAATCAAAACATACAATTAGTTCCTGAGTTCTAACCACGTAGACAATTGGGATATAATCTCATCGGACGATTGGGGTCCGTTCGTGACACGTGTCAACCTTATGATTATCCACGTGTTATGCGCGGATTTGAATGTTGAGCGCCAGTTGGGACCAATTAGACACAGCTGTCCGTGACCAGTCGGTTCTTACTCCCCGCACTTTGGTACGAACTTAAACACGCAGTAAAACATTTTTTTATTTTTTTTATTAAGGTAACAATTTTTTCTTTTTAATTTTACTTAATTTAAGGAAGACTACACTTATCTTATGCTCCTGGTGCAGCCACGCAACCATTTGATGACGCCACAGCTCTTCGGAAACTGAAGAACGGACGATCCGTGATGCGCCACGTGGCACTCGCGAAGGGTAACCGAACGGCCCACTGTTTGTTTCCATACATAAACTGCTCCCAGGCTGAAACCCACCGCTCGCACGTGCGCGCTACTCGCACGTTCGAAGGCGCTGGCGTGGCAAATATTGAAACGTGGCGATTAGAGATACATGGGCGCGAGTTGGCAGAGATGTCGAGTAGTGAGCTGGCTCGACACGTGTCATCGTCTCGCAATCTGTGGGCTAGCTGGCTCGCCAGTAGTACTACTTCTCCCCCTTGTCCCGCCTTCTCTTTCTCTCTCTTGCCCTCCTTTTGAAGGAGTTACGGTTTCGCTTTGCAGCTTCTTGTTTTTGGTTGGTAGCAAGCACTCTCTCTCTCTCTCTCTCTCTCTCTCTCTAGCTATGCACTGCGAGCGAGGTTTGGTATTGAGCACTTCGTCGTCTTCGTCGCCGTTTAATCCGCCTTCTTCCGCGGGTACTTCGGCGGAGGATGCGGCGGATATGGTGGCGGATCGGACGGAGATGGAGGCGGCAGAGGCGTTGGCGGATATGGCTCAGTTGGCTATGAGAGAGAAGCCTGCAGAATCGCCGGCAAAATGGGGAAGCAAAGGGAAACGAGTCAGGAAGCGAGTCAAGAGCGAGTCGTCCCCCTCTGACTCGCGGTTGAGCCTGGTTGACTCGGCACCACCCTGTCCGGATCTCGCCGAGGTTGTCATTTGATGGTTTACTCTCC